CTTTCCAGGCTCAGTCACAGGCATAGGATTCCCCATGCATCCCTGGCCACACAGCGAGGGGGGGCTCAGACCCCACCTCTGGCCCCTCCCCTCAGACCCTGAAACCTGCCAGGGAGGTTCTTCCTCTACACACCTTCTCTTAGCATGTGGTTGCAAATGTGAAATCAAAACACTGTTTTAATTCCATCCCGTTGGTCTAGCATCTCCACAGATGCCCCCATTTCTCTGTAAATATGTGACTTGGAACAAATGTTTAAAACCAACAAAAAGTGGTCATGAATGCATGGTGTTGAGATGTTTTGCACTATTCTGATTTTTTGGTCTCTGTAAAAATATTTTATTAACAAGAGACATTAAAAAAAGAAAAAGCACCCAGCCTCAGACACATGGTGGTGGCTTTGCATTCCCAGACACGCAAAAATAGTCACATAGCACCTCTATGTGCAGATGCTGTCGAACATACTTCCTGCCCAGGAACCAACTCCCACAACTAGCATTGCCTCGTTTCACAGAGCAGGGGTTACCCAGAACTCAGCAATTCCACCCTTTACCCACAAGACTTGCATGTGGGCAAGAAGACTGAAAGCAGCCTCAATTTCATGGTATTTTCACACAGGAATATTATACAGCTATAAAAGTAGGTGAACCACAGTTGTCTGCATGATGTCAGAGGGGCAGCCTCCCAGGAGCCCTGAGTGTCCCCGAACATTCTTGGTGACTGTGCCAGACTGCAGACCTTATCTTTTCCCCAAGACCCAGCAGTTTGTGTAGCAAGACAGAAGGGCCAGGCAATGTGACTTCTGTGTAACTGCTCACTCCTTGACAGGGAAGCTGGCTTGTTTGCTGCTTGCTACAAAATATGCTCAGCCCTTGGCCCCATGTCCCTCAGTAGGTGGGGTCCATCGTGCCACCCAGGGGCATGAAGACCGAGGTACATGCTGTTTGCTGTGCTGTGAAAAGTAAACCATGTTGCTCTGATCCTGAGTCTCAGAGTTGCACCTATGGACCAGGAACAGGTGTCCTTCTGCCATTTTCTGTGAAGGAGGTTCTTCTCTGACAAATGACACAAATGAATCTTAGAAATGTGATGTTGAGTGAGAAAAGTAAGTCCCAGAAGGCATCCGAGAACATGACACCACACTTACAAGGCTCCAAAACTAGCTATACATATTT